GAAAAGTGAGTATGTACAAGTTTCTGTGGTTTGGAAGGCTATAAACATACGTTTTGAATAACGCAAGTAAGTAGGAGCTTGATTAAAAAAGAACAAGGGAAAACCACAGTACTCAAAAAACGTCTTGGTAAGTGACAGCTGTTAAGATCTCCATCGTCCTAAAAGGCACCACAAACAAGACAATACTTTCAAGACGACTGAAATGCAGAGAGTCCTAAATATGCACAACTACATAATATAGAAAGGAATGACTCTGTCTATATAATGGGTTGAGCAAACTTTTTAAAAAAACTCCAAAACTCTTAAAGTTTTTAGAACCAGAATCAAATTTTAGGGCTCTGAAATATTGCTGAATAATAACTAAAAATCACAACTGCCTTGAACTCCAAATACTTCTCTTATTATCCTACAACTTCAAAGTTTTATAAAAATTAATGATAATTGAATCTCAGGTTCATGGTCTGGTACCTCACTGTCCCTTTAGAGGAGCTATTACCATGGTGATAAGATTGCTTAAATTAAGCTGTCTTTTTCACAGTACTTGGCTCATTGCCAGTGCATTCAAGGGAGATTTCAGTCCATTCAGCACAGCATTAACCTTACTGCCAACACTGCTAAATGGGTTATAGGAACGAGAAAGAAATCTGATTTAAAAAAGGAAGGAACAAGCAAATATGCAAAATACTGAAGCACAAAATACAGGACTAAAAATAGACACTTTGAAACAAAATCAGAATTAGGTAAGTTTTGATGTTTTGGCAGAGAATTTAAACATCACAAAGTAACATGCACCTAATCCTCAGGGAGCCTAAATGCAAAACCAAACCATATTCAAAATAAGCACGTCCAATGGTTTATCCATGAGAGGGAACTGCAGCATAATACAGGGAGGATGAGAAATACACATTTAAAATCTAATTTTTTCTTTGTATTTTGGAAATTGACTGAAATGAAAAAAAAAGTAGCAAGCACCAGAAAAAAAACCCAAAATATCAGATATGTAAACAAACACTGAGTCAACTAACAGGGAATGGAGAAAGCCAAAAACACTCCTCTGAACTGTCAAAGTTTAAAACATATTCCATAAAAAGCAGTAAGCCTTGTTCAAATGGGGCTGTCAGCGATAATGACAATGTCTAACACTGTAAATCATAAGATTTGAAACATTAGAGCAAAGTATCTATGAAACCTGCAAAAACAATTATTTCAGTGGCAAGGAAGGGAACAGGCAACAGGTTTCAAGTACTTTATTCTGGGGCAGAAGAAAAAATCAATTTATGTAAGAGCCCAATAACATTTTGCTGCTAAAAAAGAGAACGAATGTTTCCCGTGTTTTTATGCGATGCGAGAGAACCTTGCAGTCTTTTTTCTGGCAATACTTACAAATTATTTTCTGTGTGACACAACAAAATTACTGCATGTTCCTAAGTCATTTTAATAACGGATAAGTTGTTTTCTGTACTGTATGTGCATGCATACAGATAGAGGACACATTTGCATTCACGGGCACATTACAGCCTTGAAGGCTGCAGGGCGGTCAGCTGGCAGGTCAAGCTGTTACCCTTCCTGCAGGTACAGTTTTTCTCCAGTTTCTTCATCAATGACTATTCTGCATCTCATCCTCTGAAGTTTTAAAGGTGTTCCTGCTTCCCGTTTCCATTTGGGCTGCTTACAGTCAGAGCAACAGCCGGAGGTAGAGAACTGGCCTTGACGACGACGACGACGATCTAGATTCTATTTTTGGCTTTACCAAAAGCTGATGTGAACTTGAACAAGTCATTTCACCTTTCTATGTCAGTCTACTCATGAAGTTGGGAGAGCAAGCTGGGTCCGGGCAAGAGTGTTTCATGGATTAGTCCATGCACCAAACACCTTTAGATGAAGCACAGAACGTTTGCAGAATTTCTGATTAGCCCTTTTCCATTAAAACTTAACAAAGTTTTACTCCACAGAAAAGCTTCTGGAACACACCACCTCTGTGTAAGTCTCTACGACACCCCTTTTCAGTCTAAAGTAGGTTTTCAGAGCCTAATCATACAAGAATAGATTTCTAATCGGTGTGTTAAATATATTTTCAGAACCACGGAATTTTCTTATATGTAAATATGACAGATTACCATTACAAGTCTACTCTTAAACGTGCTTCATTTCTGACTATCCACAGTAAATAGGATTTGTAGTCACACGATTAGTTCTAGGAAATCTTTTCTTGCCTAAAAATTCTCTCATACTACGCGGCGATGGCTGAACTGCGCAAACACGTGCGCTGTTTATGGATTAACTGGAGATTCTGCTGGATAGAAAGGCTGAACATGTGCATTGTGATTTTTCGGCCAGTTATTACAGTAGGGAATAAATTACTGTCTCTAAATCTTCTTTTTGTTTGCAAATGTTCCAAATTAAAAAAATAAAATCTGCTTATACATATTAGGTACATATATATTAGGTAGATTTTGTACTATTAAGGATTTAGCACAGAAATACAGCTGCCATTGACATGTTTCCATTTATTTTGTAGGATTATTTTTAATGGAGGGCTGAACATTAATGGAGGAGGAAAGGAAGAGAATCCAGGTATTAAGCCAAAGTGTTTTCAATTCCATCTGAATCTTTCCCTGCTAAAGGAGGAAAAAAAGAAAAGTTCCAACTTCCCCTCCCCAAACTGTGCCGTGTGCCATAGACTTCTGGGAGGTGGTGACCACAAACATTATCACTTCTTCCTACATAAACTGCAGATATACCTTGGTGAATAGTCTTGCAGATTCTCCTTTAAGATTATATAGCCTTTCAGCCAGCTTCATTAGAGGCTGCAACCAGCTACCAGAGGGTGCACAGAATCAGCTAGAACGGCCACCGAGGGTTAGGAACGCGGAAAACTCCCCGACTCTGGGAGTCACTGAAGTGGAGCCAACGCTGTGTTCTCCAGTTTGGATTCTTAATCCAGTATATAGCCCTGTCATCCGGATCAAATCCTATATAAATACATATACATCTAGAAAACACCCTTCAGGTGACGACTCAAATTTGCAAAAACAGTAAGCCAGAAAAAGAGAGGTGCTTACAAAAAAGACTTAAATTAATAAAGTATTTCCCCCAATAAGGAGGTCTGAAGAGAAAATACCAAATAGGGATGGAGAAAGGCTGCAGAAGATCTGCCAAAGTGTTAACCGAAGAGAACCAAAAAGTACTCAGTGGCTCCAAAATGCCTACGGACCAGGTTTACATGCAGCAAAAGGTATAGATACACAAGCTTGTCACAGAAATAAGAGAGATTTACCATTATGAAAATTATGTAAACAGGAACTCTGATTCTAACCATTGAGGGAATACTGAGGTTTTTAAAAGTTTATTTAAGAAATAATAGAATTTGACCGATACTTACTGCTGAATGAGTACTAGAAATTTGCATTTTTATAGTTTTCAGTGTACTGAAATACTGTTTCAGTGTTTCATTATTTCACTGTTATTTTATTATCACTTTTCCCTCTCAAGTTCTCACCTGCAAAAAGCTAAAAGCTTTCTATTGTGATTCAATCTTAAATGACAAAATTATATTCTGAAACACAGATAAACGTGGTTAAACCTGAAATTCCAAATAGAAGCATTTTTAAAAATTGCTTTCAGTTTGTCTTTTTGATTTAACTTTGAAAAAACAGACTGAGGGACTAGTGGGACTAAAATTTTGTGTATGTTCAATTTGAGGGAAAAGTTTCTTTCCTCCTTGATTCTTCTGTAGTATTTCAAGCAGATATCCTCCAGACAAAAAAAGAAAGCTTTATTTAAAAATGAATCAGCTCATTCTTCCACTGCAATTTACGATGGCCTTTCAAAGATAGACTTATTCTACATGACATTTCTGTTTAGCAGCAGTTATATGTTTGAAGATTTATACTAAAATTAAATTATGCAATAAAATCAAAAAGAGTCTCAATGATTAAATAGCTGTGATAACTGGCAACTGGACACGTACATATTAAAAAACCCCACATTTATATGCATTTTACATTATATTCTCTGGCTCGGATTAGTCCAATGTCAGTTCATCTGAGTATCACCAAATATCTTTCAGAGTCCTGTGCTTTTTATGTTGTAGAATGTCAAAACTCAAAGAAAACTCTAGTCAAAACTTCTTGCTGCTGTATTCACAATGGTTCTAAAAGGAAGAGAAATGTTGTAGAAAATCAAGGGCTTCTTATATGCACCAAGTCAGCAAACACAGCTGTAGTTAAAGGCCATCAAATTAGCTAATACTTACCAGGAATAAAGTTGTTTATGGCCAGAAAGTCAGAGGAAGCTGTGCATGCACCTCTGCAGGCAGAATTCTGGGTACTGAACCACAGGTTTCTGAATACAGAATGTATTTTGTTGCCATTATTTTCCTAAGTAGATTATTTGTGCCACTTACGGATGATTCTGAAGTTGAACCCTCCCTGCTCTCCCTCTTGAAAGTAAGGCTTTCCATATTTAATACATGTCTTTGGCCTGTATCATCTCTGTATTATCAACTGATTATGGTATTCTTTGTGCATATATGCACTGACATGTTTAAACAAACACGGAGGAAAATAATACTTTAGTATTATTTCGTATCTCTTTTTTATCCCCAGGATGCCAAAAAGCCCAAACAAAATTTCTCCTATTTGCTGATTACCGCGTGCGCAGAATGTCCCTGGGAGAAGATGGGATGGCGGCACAAGCATGGAAGCACCGATCTTGCTTGCACACAGATCAAATCTAAGACAGTTGCGTAACATACACACTTTAAAGAAATCAATCTCTTCCCAAACTTTACAAAGCATGCTTTTATGAGCGTTAATGATCTCGATGAACCGAATAAACACGGTGCATGACAACATGGCCTCAAATCAAAATGCTTCGGCAGGGCCTGAATGACAAATCTGCAATTCCCCGTTGTCTTCTCAAGTCAAGCTCAGGCCTCCCCCCCAGCTTTTCTTTTCTTAACATTTCCGAGCTGCTGCATAGCAGGGGTTGGTCCGTACCTGGTTTCCAGCGGTATGTTGCTGTTCAGGACCCAGCTGTTATGGAGATGCACGGACTCCTGGGTGCTGGCGGGGGGCGTGGGGGCCGCGGGAACTGGTTGTGGGGGCTACCCGGCATGTCTGAAACAACAAAGAAACCCACAGAGACTTGTAATTTCAGAACAGATCAGGAAAGCATGACATAATATTTAATGGCATTAAAGCACTGTGCAACCAATCACACTGTTAACTTGGGTGTCTGTAAAGTTATTACAACTTGCAAAATAATTTAAAATACAATACTCTCCTGAAATAAAGAACATTACATACAGAATAAAGAATATTATACGTGCTCCAGCACTGTGCTTCAGTTCAGCTAAAAAAAAAAAGAAAAAAGAAGACGACAGAGCATTCACGTAATTTGTCATAGGATTTTTGGGGAGGAGGATAAAGAACAAATAAATCAAGCTGACGTTGAATTACAGCCCAGATACCAACTGATTTCATCAGGTATAAATCTCATTTAAGAAGAGCTGTGAAAGAAACAGACACACTATAAGAATAAAAATCTTGCACTTCAAATCAAAAGAGAAAATAATTCAGCAATTCCTTTTGCAAAACCACCACCTAACACGCATCCTCCACAAAATAAGGTTAACACATTTCTACCACTGCTTTACTGGATTTGTTAAATGCGAGCTGGGGAGAGGTCTGCAGCACTAATCACTGTGACGCCTGAGAAAAGGCTCTGTGGAGGCTGAAGGTGGCACAGGAGTCCACAGCCACCAGCGCAGGCTGCGAATGAGGGTGGTGCCATCAACACCTGGTGGCGGGCTCACACGGCCGCTCCGCTTTGCCTTGGCGCAGAGTGGGCTGGAGTAAGCTCAGCTGCCTGCAAAAAGGAGACGCGCCTTCGGCATAACGGCATTTTGAAGGGATAATAAAAAAATCTGCTCCTCTCTACTCCCCGCAAGAGTCTCCAATGCCTCTCGGATACAGCAAGAAATGAAGTTACGGAGAACTGAGGTAAAAATTCCTTTGTAAAGGAATGATAACACATACTTTGCAAACGAAGCTGATAAAAGTTACTGCCAGATTGGGCAAAGTGCAAAGCTATTAACCTGAAACTCTTCCAGTCCCTAAATCTTGTCTTCTAGAAGTTACCAAGTTAGTGAGAGGTAATTTTTGACCCTTTCAAAGGAGGTAACTAATGAAATTACCCAGATGCTTTGAGAAGCTGTGAGCGATCCCCCCAGCTGAGCTTTGCCCAGGAGGTGCTACTCTCACGCCCTTCCCTGACATTAATAATTTCTCCGGGAAGGAAGAGGAGCTGCTTTCCAAGCTTGGACGACCTTGAGGACTCGACTGGGGTGTCTAGAGAAGGGTTTTTAGCCCACTGCAAGGTGCCCAGCGCGTTCAGGCTGTGCACACGGGTGGTGGGTATGACACAGGACAGGCAGGGGGCCGGCGCTACTCTGGGGCGGCAAACGGGGCCACCGGCAGCAGGTCGAGAACAGCAGCGACGCTCGCGAGGAAGCCGATCACACCCCGACGTCTCACAGCAAGGACCCTTGCTAGGTTGAATAACACACGCGTGCAGGGGTACAACCATTTTCCTTCTGTATCACATGCCTGCACAGGAGACAGATCTATTTGCTAGCTAGTCTGTAGGAAAGAGCAGTTAAAACGACCTCGGTGTTTGGCTCCAGGACGCTGTGATCGAGACCTTTATTCCCACTGCAGCAGTGACCACTGGTGTCTCCTGCTTCTTGTCTTACAAGCAGCTACATAGTCCCTCTAATGTAAAACCTCCCAGCTCACCGGCACAGCTCACCCATGGTTTCTGATGGGATGGCCAGGAGTCACCCGAGGGAACGCAAGAAGGGGACAGCAGCGGCGTCTGCTGCTTTGTCCCCTTCCTGCACTGTCCCTCCCTTTTACCTGAGCCACTTAAAGTCCAGCCAAATTTGCACCAAACCCGGCCGGAAGGGAGCTCTGGCGAACCTGGAAAAAGATCTCCTGCAAGGAGCTACTGCTGACATCCACTTACACCACGCCGGTTGTGGAATTATGACGCGATTTTCTTCACGATGCAAGACGAAAGCAGACCCCCTTCCCTTCTTGGATTGCCTGGTGGGAAAAAAGCACTTTTTCCTCAGTGACAACAACAATTTACCCCAACTGGAGGAACAAGGTTGTTTAGTGCTCAACATAAGCTTTTCCATGCTGCGGTAAGCAAAGCTGTCATGGATTTGTCCCAGGCTTAATCCTTTTAAATTTCATTGATCTTTTATCAAGGCAGCATTCTTACACTCGCGTTAAGGTTTACACTGTAATGTTAGTTTGCATATACCAGAAAAGCATTTCTAAGCATATTAGAAAATTGGAGACCTCAGTAAATGAAATCGCTGGAGTCAACAGTCCAGAGCTCTGAAATAATCTCCTAAGGCACTTTCATATAATGATTAATCCTGGTAAGTCCTGTATCCTGCTATTTCAGAATTGAAAGCTACCAAAGTTTCGGACATAATATTTGATGCCCAGCGTCCTCAAGTATTTGATCAATGACTTTCCGTTATCGGTGGTATCAAACTTATTCCCACTCTACAGAAAATTTGCAGGAGCATTAGACAGCCCATAATTTGCACGACAAACCATTTTAAGAGCTGTGCCACTGCCCTGTCAGCTAGAAGATAATGATTTGACCGATCTTTGCCAGGACAGACAGATTCCAGACGGTACTTCGAAAGCTAAGCGGCAAACGCCGCGTGGTCAGGGTGACCCCTTCCACAGGTGAACGGGAAAAACGGTACAACCTGTACAGCAGCGCATCTCTTAGCTCCTTTCTTCTCCTTTTGCCTCTACCACCCCTATCCTGTTGACAGCACACCATTATCTGACGGATAATTTAGTTTGTTCCTCGCGATAGGCCAGAGTTGCTCTGTGAACCCTATATGCCATAAAATACTGCTGGCCAGCGGGGTGCCTTATCGCCCAGCGCTACTTCCCACAGCACCTCACGGCACCGGCGTTGGAGGGGATTCCTCCTGCACTACCAACTGACCACCCCTTCGTGCCGCCACTGCCGTCACGGCAAACCTCACGCCAGAGACACATCTTCTGCGTCAGACCTTCACTTCAATGGACCATTGTAAATTCATTGAGCTGAGAAGCTGGTCCGAGCTGCTAATTAGTTTTTACAGACTGTTTCTGATTTAGCGAAGTTATTTTTATTTTGCTTGAAACTAAGTCTACATCCCATTAACTTTATTTTCCTTCCATAAAAAAATGTTGCTTGTGATAAAACAGTATTGTATCTAAATCTGCATACTGATGATCCTTCAGATCTCTGAAAGAATAGCAGACTCTGTAAAATAGCTTCATGCAAAATCATTTAAATATCTAAAAAGGGAAATTATGCATGATAACTTGTCTAAAGCCAACAAGAATCTGGAGTGTATGGGGATGATATAGAAATTAGCTTAGTTATGAATTTTTATCATGCTGCTATCGTTTAGCACAATGCTGTCTATTCATGGCAATACATGTTTTTATTTATAATGACTGCTGAGAGAGCAATGTTCAGGTTTTATTTAAATTTTAGATCAGAAGCTCTGAGTTTGAAATGCAAATACAGCATTATTAGTTTTCTATATATTTATTGACATGTTAACAGTTTCCCTTCATCTAAAAACATAACTATAAACTTGATTTCAGCTAAAACTTCTCATCTACAGTAACTCGCACCAGATCAGATTCTCATCTGATGACTGTCCAAACCAGAAGCCACCCTCTTTGGCCTCATCACGCAGCGTCATGTCCTCACCTGAATCTAGCCCCGTTTTTTACAGACAGAAAGGCCTTTTTAGAAACTCAGTTCTTTCCCATAAGAACTTGCTATTTTTAAAGAGTTTTCTTATTTCAGCAAAGCCCGTCTAGAAACGTGACGTTTTCCAAAGATGTGTATGATACTCTGCTTGTTTTGCACCTCTTTGTTCCATTCTGGAGGTAATTTGTTTTATTCTCACCAATCCAAACCACAAACTCCACTTAAACGTCTTTCCAACTGCTTTATTTAGGGCATTTACTTTCATTCTTAAACAGCAATGTTAATTTGTTCAGTGTTTGATTTTCAGATATATCTCAAACTCTTTGCATTCCAAAAACAAGAATGCTGTATCGATGCTAGTTATTAAAAACTTTTCTTGGAATTCTGCTTGTCTGAAGGATTTCTACTTGCTCTCCTTTTGCTGGAGACGGCTGGGAGGAGTTCTGGTCTTGACCTGAATGTTTCCTCTTCTCTGGCTCTGAATCATTGTGCTGGATTGCCCTTGCTCAACGCTGAGCCCAAGGTGCTCCTGGGCAGCTGAACGCGCAGGCTTGGTCCCCTGCAGTTACGCAGTGCAGACCTGCGCAGCTGCCGAGTTCTAGCCGCTGGGGCATCTTCCCTCAGGGAATACAACAATTCAGTTTTTTTTTTTCCCCTACTTGGCCTCCGCTTTTCAGAAGGTTAATTATCCTAGAAACTTCCATTACTCTGCCGTGTTTGGCTGGGTATCGCCATTCTACTCAAAAGTTATCGGAAATACAGACCCATGGACATCAAGAGCATTAACATAAACTCATTTTCCTTGAGAAACAGGCTAAAATGCCTTTGTGATCACAAACATGTAGCTGAATTTGTATAGACAAAGACGAAATAAGAAGGCTTTCTCAGTTAGTTAGCACCCGATTACAAATTATTTTGGAAGGAAACTAGGCCTTTTGTTAAACCATTTTCCTAATGACTCATCTTTGGATCCACTAACTAAGAAGGGGTAATTGAACTGTTTTACCATTTACTGAGAAAACGGCAATACTCAGCAAAGTATATCAGCGAGAATATATTAAAAGTAATGAACTTTAAAAGGTCTGCATTTAACCTGCAGTGCTTTTGAGAGATTTACATTTTTTCAGTTCCTAAATTAACTATGTACTGGTAAGTTTTTTACTAGATCTGCCTCAGCTGAGTATGAGTTAGCTTGCAATCCATTATTTAATGAAGTAAATAGCAACATATGTTCAGAGAGTTTAGTTTAGGTTTCTATTTAAAAGCTGTATGGGTGTACACTACTCAGTTCCAAAGCAA